GGGGGGGGGGGGGGGGCGGCGGGAATTCCTACAAAGCTAACCTTATGTCACATCCGACACAAACATTCACAATTCCATGAAATGGGTTACAAAGAAAGTTGGAATTGTGCCAATAATTGAAGTTGGCAGACCACTATTAACATTTTTTTTAAAAAGAGGCAAAGAATTCTAAAATGTCTATGTTTTAATGTGTTGAATTAAAACACTGTAAAAACAAATTATAGTAATATTTGAGCTTTGATATTTTTCAATGAACTGCATTTTATAACATTAACAGATTTGCTTATTTCTTTCTCTCAAAGGTAGGCACCCAGATCATCTACATACTGAGGTCATATTTTTATTACATTGACCAATTTACAAATACAAACAAAACAAAACCCAAAACATAATGACAAAGTTAAATTCTAGCTGGTTTTCAGGATACTAAAGATCTATATCACTCAACACCCCTATTTATTTACCATCTCAGACAGACATCTTTCTACAATGTCTTAAACATTATTCTGAAAAAAAAGTTAGTTTGCACTGAACATACTTACAACCACTGCTTTGTTGTAATCCTCTGGTTTGAGATGTGAAAGATCGCTGGCCCCTTTACTAAATGGCCCGGGGTGATGCTTTTGGAAAGCTTGTTTCCTTTTTTAGCTGTTTCTTTCCTTGCTCTATCAGGAAACCTACCTCTAGGCAGCAATTGTCCCTCTTTCCAATTTTCTGCCTCCAACTGGCAATGAGTTGGGGGAAAACAAGTAATTAATTATGTTTGTTAAAACTGCTTACGTAAGAGTAAGGTCCTGGGAATCTCCTATGAATAAAGTCCATGATTTTGTGAAACTTATTTTGACTCTCAAGAGTTTTTGTTGTTTCTTCCCAATCCTCAGCTTATTTAAGGGTTTTCTTCTGGGATGGACTTTCCATTAAAACACAGAAATAAGCTGTTTTCATATTCTATCTCAATCTGTTTCCACACCTGTGCTTAAGAGAAGGTTCATCATCATCTGAATGAAGAACTGGCTGGGAGTGAATCCCATCTCACAGCTATCATAAGCACTCCAAAAGGTTTCCACAAGCTATATAAAGAGTTTATTGCTTGAAAGCGATTCAAGTGTCCTGGGGACATCAGGAAAACCAGATGTTCTGCAGAGCCTACAGGAAGTTACTTCATAGAGCTTCACAGAACCATTCCGTCAAATCACTTACTTAAGGAGATTTGCAGACAATAATACCAAACAGGAGTCAAAAAAAAAAAAAAAAAGGCAATACATAATTGGGGTCATCTTAAAATAAAATGCTTTTAAAATGGTAAAAATCAGATCTATTGAGTTCTAACACAACTTAAATTAGATATCTTAAAAAAGTAGCATAAACCTTAAGGCATAACTAATTTTCATAATTTTCTTAGAGAGTGACTCAATGACCTGAGAGAGAGGTCACTAAAAGTCGAAGGCGCTGCGATTAACACAGGCTAAAGCCTCTCCATTTTCTAGGCCCTTCAGGTGGTTAAGTCTAAGCAGTCCTGAAAAGACTATAATACGAGAAAATAACTACAAAGAACCAAAACACCAACTTTTCCATGCCCAACATCCTGCCTATACCAATCTACCCTGAAGCTAGTGCCTACTCCAAATGTTGGGTTCTAACATCCCCAAGAAGGAATGGGGAGAAAGAGATAACCGCCCGAGGCTCGGAGACAGCAAGGACACTTTCCTTTTCCTAGTTAAGTTTCCACGAACAATCTCACTTTATTAACAGAGAATTCCCACAGATACATCCAAGTTGAGAAGAAGATGCTCACACAAACGGAAATACAAAGGATTCTAATATTACAGTTAACCACCATTTCTATTCCATTAACATAGATAATCAAGAGCTGACTGTATAGAGCTATTAAAATGTAATTCTCTTTTTCACTGCCCATGAATAATTTTCTCCATTAACATGAACGATCCAAAACTGATTTTGCTCCTTGTTTAAATTAAAATGTTCTTTATCATTTGATAACCTTGCCACCCATTACACTTGTGAAACAACACATTTAGGCCAGGGAAAAACACGTACCGATGCACATAAAAACTGTATGCATTGTGAAATGCATACAAACACACACTTTGTCAGAATTCTTTTCAGATACCATGAAATATGCATGGCACATAAAACTTGATATGCTTATGAAGTACAAATTATGCAGAAACAATGAAAAATTTAGACAAACAAAACCTATCAAGCTAAGCAATATGCTTACCAAGATAGACATAGTTTGATAGTTACAGGCTTTCTGCTTTAGCTTGACTACAGGGTGAGAGGGCTTTTTTGAAGTCACATTAATTGAGTTATTTAAGAATACAGCAAACAAAAACCAGTACTAAAGAGTTTACAGCCATTCTGGGTTGTATAAATTCTCACCAATACCACATTCAAATGTATGTAGGTATTTGGCTTTTGGATTTATGTTTTTAAATTTATTTTTGGTAAATCATTCTTACAGTTATTTGTTTCTTTGGTACTTAAACTTCTTTGAATGGAGTTTATAATGATTCTAAAGTAAAAAGTCTGAAGTACGTAGTCCAATTTTGATATCTTAGATTGATCATTTAAATGAAACATCCTAAGTTTCAGAAATCATATCCCTTATCCTATGGATTATTAATGTACTTCTAGTTGTAGATATCTAGTCTGGTACTTCAAATTAATTTCATTCAACTTCCATTCTGCAATTCTTTGAAATGACATAAATTTTTTTTCTCTTTTTAACGAGAGAGAAATGAATCTCAATTAGAAGGTCAAATATTAAATCCAAAAGACAAATAATTATGTGTAGCAGTTCAAACTGCTAAGCCAGACAAAAAAAAAACCAGGTCTGTAAACCCAGCCTTTACTAGGAAACTGAGTTCTTGAGCCTAATGCCAATTACCTTAAGGGAAAGATACTCTTCATCTCAAAAAGGGTATTTTAACCATAAGAAACTCTAGGTTTGTCTACATATAGTATAAGCATTAATTGCCCAAGGCTTTATCTCTACCAACCACCAAACAGAATGAATTCTTCTTTTCTTCCATATACATATCCAGATCTCACTATTTTCTTTTCGGTGTAAGATGGTACAACGAATGTTTAAAATAGTCAAAAAGCCAGGTTAAAAAATTTTTTTTTAATGGCTGTGCTGATGATTCAAAAGGACCTAACTCTGAAGGCATTTCTGGTCAATTCCAGTTGTTTGCCGGATGCTGTAATAGTTGATTCTCCTACCGTGACCCGGCTGTTGGTGCCCGGGTTCCCTCCCAGCCTGTAGTTGTTGTAGGCGAGATGACTGTATGGATTGTATCCCACAAACCCTGGTGTGCTGGGCATTTGCTGATGGAAACAAATGAGACAAAAACACGAATGAGAAATGAGCTCAAACGAGGAAAACACAGAAATGAAAAATGATCTGCATATGGCATGCAAAAGCAACCTGAATTTAAACAAGCAATGATGTGTTGTAATTGTTCTTTTTCTTTCATTGAGAAACCAGTCTGCAAGTGGTTTTTTTTTCTCCTTCCTTCTCTTTGCAGGGGCCAGTGGTATTTGTGTGTGTGAATGTGAGTGCTTGTTTTTTGGGAAAAGCAGTACAGTGAAGTGTCTTAACCATTCAGGATTAAATTTATAGTCCACAGTATGATATAACACTTGGCGATATGTCTGAGATAGGAAAGCTTGAAATGTTATAAACTAGAAGTCTGAAAACACTTTACATGCAAAACAAAACATGATTTATTTGACAGTTATGTGGATGCTGCCAACGTATTTATCTACTAAAAACAAATAAAAACAAGAAATGCATCGCTTTCAAAGACAGTTTTAAATCATTTTATATAATGTGATAAATGAGAAGAGACTCCAATCAGGAAGCCAGAAGTTGTCAATAGAAAAGAACATATGTGGGATTTAATGGATGTCACATACATGATTTCAAAACAAAGACTTGCAAGAAATGCATGGATATCATAATGGGGTACTGTCTCATCTTTTTAACCCAGTCATTCTTTTATAGGCTTTCTCTTCCATCTCTTCTTGATCCATCTTCCATAGGTCAATCATGGACAATTTCTGCATTTAGTTTTAATGTGACAGTTGACAGATTTGAACTTTATTTTTCCCTCTAGTTTCCTGACAGTCTAGCCCCTTCCAAACACAACAGCTCGTTGCAGCAATGGCATTCTTGGCTTTTGTGAATTATGTGTTAATGTGATCACAAATGGGCTCTTGTATAGCAGTGCCCTCATGCTTAATACAATGACATCCAATGTTAATGAGAATCAAGGTATAATGCACAAAAAGGATGTAGCAGAGAGACCAAAAGTATTTTACCTAATGAAATTCAATCAAAACAAGTGAGAGTAATTTCATTTGAACATGCAATTAAGAATATCAGACCTGACTTTTATAATATAAAATACACTTAACACATCCCAACTAAGCTGTAGCTGTATAAACACAACTTTCTAAAACATGCCGCTGCACAAATCCTTAGTGTCCGAAAGTCATTCAAGCAGATATTACATTTGATACTCTTTAGGAGAACAACTGATCAATTTCTAGTCTATTTAGTTATAGAAGACGCAAATTAAGCATATTTAAGTAGGCAAAACACAGATGAAGCATCAAAGGCACAAAAGAAGTGTATGTTACTTGGAGTGGTACATTTAGGGCGGGGGGTGGTGGTGGTGGAGGTGGTGGTGGTGATGGTGGTAGAAGTAATGGAAAAAAAAAGGAAGGAGGATAACTCATTTAATATCCACTCTGTTGGATGTCCTGATCCCTAGTCCTCTGTATTTTGTGTCAATGTGAAATTATAATGGTACAGAAATATGACTAAAGAAAGGCAAAAAAAAATCCCTTTCTACATTTGAGAAGTCATAAGGGGATGCTTGGTTTTTGAGCTGTTTTTATTATCTCAAAAAATCAAGTTTGTCTTCAAGATACTATACACTGTCAGAAGCAGTATTTACGTCAAAATGACTTATTCAAAGGTTGCGTCAACAATGAGAAGCACTGTTCAACATTATGAGGCAATAATGTAAGGGAACTAAAAAAAAGAGATTGAAACTAAAACATTACAATGATACCATTTCCAAGAATGAAGTACATGATTAGCTCTGAGGTCAGGAATCTCAATTGTTCAACTCCATCTGTATAGCCACTAGCAGAGTGCCAAGGAGATGGTCATAGGAAATGTTCTTTGATTTAAGAAAGAAAACAAACCAAACACAGGACTTTAAGATCTACTGGAAGTAACTTTAGAGACTGTATATTACATAAATTGAACTGAGAACATGTGATACAGTATCTCTTTTTAAAAGTATCTTACTAAGGAAAAGCAAATTGTTGATAAACGTAACTAAAACATATATCTGAGGGTTAGTAAATAAGAGTAGTTATCTAATGGAGAAAACAAAATCACACAAGGACCTAATTAGTAAACTAGGTGGAAATTTAGGGGGTAGGAGGTACGGAAGGAGGGCTAGGAGCTGGTAAAGAACTGCTTTTGAAGGGTATGGCCAATGTTAACAGTGTTTTTGTTTGTTTTTAAAAAAACAACAACAAGGAATCCATTTCAGCAAGGCCTGAAAAATCTGTTACTGTTTTGTGGATCGGACAATTATTTTACATGCTGACCAAGCTGGGCTAGAGCTTGCTGGGTGAAAAAACTAGTTCACAACTGTTATTTAGATACTTTGAAAAATATCAATTCTCAAACCCATAAAATATTATTTATGGAGTGGAATAAAATTCAATAGCAAGATCTGACCCACAGATAATGAAATCCTTGCTTGAACAGCTTGAAAATAAAGATTTACAATGAGTGTTATTATAGAACTGGAAGCTTTATTGTTTAATACGAAAATTATATATAGACAAGGAGAGAAAAATGTAACCAGTTGAAGGCTAGGTTTAAAAATAATAAATGCCAGAATGAGTATTCATTCAATATCAGTTTTAAAGACTCTTAATAGAGATCAACAAGAAAGAAGTGTTAACTTGTTGTTTATTTCCCATTAAAAAAAAGAAGTGAGCAGGAGGTTGGCATTTCAGCAGTATGTTTCTTTAAATGTTGGGGTTGGTTCAAGGTAAGATGCAAAGAGTTATTTTATTTAGTAGGAAGTGCTGTTTTTCAGCTGAGTTTTTCATCCTGTTGCTGTGATGACTGAGTGACTGTCACTGGAAGACATCTGGGTTTTTGTATCAAGGCCAGACTTGGCTATTACATTAACAAGAAAATTAAAACTTACTGTTGCAGGAGCTGGGGTGGGAGGTGGGGCATAAGATGGTCTTTCTGTTTGAAAGAAAATAAATAACTTCTTGTAAACAACTGAGATATAATACTATGCAACAAAACTACCAATGGTCCTGTTTTGAAGAAAAAAAATGAGAGTATTTTGGAATTCCCACTTGCTAGGGCATTAGTTTCTTATTAATATAGATCGATAAATATAAAAAATGAAACTTACTTGACATTTTGGAAGATTAAGTTCTCAGTTCCTTAAGAATGAATCTGAGACACTAAAATAAAAAAAAGAAAAAAAAAAGAAAAAAAAAGAGAATCAAAACTCAGCAAGCATAAGAGAATGTTTTCCTAAAGAATAGGGTAGTTTATAATTGGTACTTCTTAGTAAAATTACTTTATCTTCTAGTAATCAAGTCTTTTGCATATTTTAGTAATTCTTTAGGTCATTTGGTTGATCAGAATTAAATGACTAAAACAAATCACCGGGGATATTAAACGTAATATTAGACATATACTTTCAAGTTTTTTCTTATGATACTGAGCCACCTCTTGTATGGAAAACATTTTGTGGATGCCATGTAAACATTCAATAAGACCGATAAAAACTGAATGACAATAGAATGATGTATTATCAGGGCCCACTCCAACAAGGCCTACCAGATACGGACAGCCCCCAGACCAGCAGCAGCTCTACCTTCCTTTTAGGATAACAACTCCTATTAAAATGGAGCGGCATTTCACTCCTGGAGGTAGTGCAAAAGGTACTTGGTATGATAATGCGCTTTACATTCTCTTCTAGTGGTAAAAGAACTTTCTAACTGCTGGGAATAAATTTTGGGCATCTACCTGAAAAACTATCAAACCTTCGCAGTCCATTTCAAAATATATCTCCTCAATGGAGCTTTCTTGATAAATCACCTGGGCAGAATTACTGCTTCCTCATCGAGACTCCTACCCAATATACATAGATCTATGATATTGTTTACTGTATTGTATTATACCTGTTCATATGGCTAGATGGTGTGCTGCCTGGGAACAGAGACCATCTAATTCATTGCTGTAGTCCCAGCACCTAGCTCCATTCTTTATAAATTTTGCCCTAGCATTTACCAGCTCACAACATGACCACACACACGAGCTTGTTCCTGACATCAATATACATCACACACGGTGCGTACAAAGACATTCATTTTTAGAAAAAACCCAGATAACTTCTAAGACTACAGGAGTACTTTCATCCAACATTATGTGAAACAAACAGGATCTTTTTGCTTCTATGTTGCATTTTAAGGGACTTCCCTGGAGCATAGGAATAAGAGGCCTGGTGTGGAAAGAAACGGTTTACTTTCTCACTGGCCCAAACTGGGTCTCTCCCCCTTTCCTTAAGGAACAGGCAGAAACCATTGATTCTAGTGGAAATCTGCACATTTAGGGAGCTGTCAACCAACATCCAGTAGGCCTTGCTGTGGGGAGCCCTGAGAATAACCGCCACAGGCTGCCGGGTACATCACACTTGATTGTTAGCACATTAAAATTATTACTCTCCTTTGCTATCCTATAAATTCTAAGAGTGGGTTTGTACATTTACCCACCACTGGATCCATCCTCGGTGCCTGGCATAAACTACTAGATAGGTATTTGTTGAGTACCTTACACGGAACAGGCTTCTTACCTACACTATCTTGTCTGACAGTCACAACTACCAAGGAGATACGTACTGCCATCCCTATTTACAGATGACAAAAAGGAGTCTCGGCGAGTTTAAGTAACTTGTCCAAAGACACACAGCCAAGAAGTGCCAGAGTCGGGTTTTAAACCCAGGTCAAACGGTTTCAGAGCTTTCGCTCCTCCCTCTAAGCCACACCGCGAGTCCTCCAGCCGCTGCCTCAACCGAGGGGAAACCAGCTTCCGGGGGGCGAGGACCACCGGCTGGCCCCCAGGGCTTCCTCTGCGGTCCTTTCCTTTAGGCTTGTCGCGGAGGCTGCGCGTCACCAGCAACTCCACCAAAGCGGGGTACGCACAGGCGCTCTGACCAGTTCCGCGGGGTGCGGGGAAGGGGCAAACCTTGCCGCCAAGGAGGGGCCCCAGATGGGACTCGCTCCCAGCCCTCGCTCCGCTAGGCCTCAGGGAGGCCGCCATCGGGCCCCAGCTCTGGCCCCACGGCCAAGCCTGAACCCCAGCAACCCCTGGGAGCTCGGGTTCCAGCCGAGCCGGGACACCACGACTTGCCACCCTCCCGACCCGGCCAGGCCCGGTTGGGAACACTCACCCGCGGGCAGAAGAGGTGCCCGCAGCTCCAGCCTCGCTTCCCTTTGTCCCGCGCACGCCCCGCCCCTCGCGGCCGGCGCTTCCGCGCTCGCACTTTCCACACTCCTCCGGATCCCTCTCTGCGCCCCCCCCGGCTCTCGGCAGAAAATGCACCTTCTAGGGAGGATGCGGGGAGGCTTCGCACACTCAAGGATTTTTTTTCAGGCCCCAGACGTTCCTCAAAACTCCCGAATCTGGGTCCTTTTCCGCCCGGCCGCCGATTCGTCACGGCGGCGAGGGCGGAGGTGGCGCGACCGCGGGCTAGGCCGGGGCGGCGGCAGGGCCCCCCGAGAGCTGGGGGCCGCGGCCTGGGCCTCCGCGCGGGCCCGGGGGACAACGGGGCGCCCCGACCCGAGGCCCCGGAGCCACTGTGGCCGCGCGGGCCGCGCTCTCTCCCAGGCTCCGTGCCCGCCAAGCGGCTTGTTTCCCCCGGTCTTTTTCTTTCCTCTTTCTGGCTGAGAGAGCGGGTTATCAGGCGCGGAGGGCTCGGTTCGCGGGGTTTCCGGCCTCGCAGGGCGTCCTGCCCTCACCGCCGGGCATCAGCTTCGGCGAAGAGTGACGCGCGCGTCTCAGTTTTTCCCGGCTCGAGCGCGGGGCGATTGCCGCGGGTCTCTGAGCCGAGGCCCAGAGGTGTCCATCCCTCGCCCGGGTTGTGTGCCCTGCAGCCCGGCCTGGGCTCCTTCGCTTCCCTCTCCGGAACGACTGTCCCCCACCTTCAGCTTAAGTCACCCCCGCCGCCCAAACCCTCCCCTGATCTCCCACAGCTCTTCGATAACTTTATTGTGGTCTCTCTCCCACTCGTTGTATCAGACTCTGTTTGTCACCTCCAATGCGTTATGAAAGCAAAGGTTCAGTCATCTGCGTTGGTCGCCTTCCTATCGCCAGTACCCATTAAGGCCTCGACCCGCTGTTAGATGCTCGGTAACTGTGTGCTGAGGCAGCCTCTGGTCCGGTCCCGGGCTCTTTGCACTAGATCGTGAGTACGCTGGTTTACCAGTTAGAAGCCCGTTCCTTGGATCTATAGACACCTGGCTATGTTATGGGCCACTGTGGAGGGAGAAGGAACAGATAGGGTCCCTGACCTTTGATGACTTGAAAGCAGTGTTGACGTTTAGAGCGATTGATTGAATTCTTGGCCTGCCCTTAACCCCCATCCTGGGTGTACCAGCAGGGACTAGGGCATCTCCAGAAGTCTGTAAAGCCAGGGGCAAGTGACACTGTCCAATTCTTCCACCTCCAATATTTTTATACCCATGAATAGAGATTAGAGAAATTGAAGAGCATATTGAAGGGAAAGACTAAAAGAGAAGTCATCAAAAGATAACAGGCAGCCTGAGTGGTGCTCGAGATAATGTACATCAAATTGCTTTTTTAGTATAAAAGCATCAGAGACATGTAAAGGATTAATGTAAGATACACGAAGGCCTCGGTAGGGATCCCAATACCCTCTCTCTCTGGCCTTATCCAGCAACTCCTGCCTGGGTTCTTTCCTGCCTTTGGGTTATGGTGGGGGATGGGCAAGTGAGGTGCTGGGGCAGATGCTTGTTGTGTCATCTCTAGGCAGTCCTCTTGAAGAAAAGCTGCAGCTGCTGGGTGTTAGGAAGAAAGTCCACTGTAATGAGAAAAGGGTGGCGCAAAGATCACGAAAAAGGAAAGGAGGAGATCTGAGTGGAGCAGTGACATTGATAGACTTACCTCCTGGTCTTTACTCAGATGTCACCTTCTCAGTAGGTCTTTCCTGACCTATTTAAAATTGCAATTTATTCCCCACCCTCCACTCTATTCATGGTCTGTGCTTTGTTTTTTCTATAGCACTTACCACCTAACATACTATATTTATTATCTATTTATTTTGTTGTCTTTTTCTTCCCAACAGAATGAAAGCTCCCTGAGGGTGGGGACTTTTGACCTCTGGAAGAGTGCATGGTACATTCAGTTGTTCAATATTTGTGGAATGAATAAATGAATGGCTATCTCATTGTCCTCCCTTTGGTTTACTCCCCAAAATTTGCAAAATTAAGAAAGGAAGAAAAGAGGCAAAATATAACAGAGAAAAAAACCCTCTTCCCTTGTCCTGAAGAAATTAAGACTACAGAGTGAAATATTCAGCAACTGAGGCCAGCCTTGTGGCAGAGCAGTTAAGTTCGCACATTCTGTTTAGGAGGCCCGGGTTTTACAAGTTCAGGTTCCAGGTACGGACATGGCATTGCCTGTCAAACCATGCTGTGGTAGGCATCTCACATATAAGGTAGAGGAAGATGGGCACGGATGTTAGCTCAGGGCCAGACTTCCTCATCAAGAAGAGGAGGGTTGGCGGCAGATGTTAGCTCAGGGCTAATCTTCCTCAAAAAAAAAAAAAAAGAAAAAGAAAAAGAAAAAAGAAATATTCAGCAAGATGGATTCTACTTATGTGGGGTTGTTAGTTTGTTTTTTCCCCAAGCAAACATCAGAACGTATGATCTTGCATGTACATAGATATTTATGGGGACCACAGGACAGACTTTTGGAACAGTGATTATTCCTGGAAAATACGGGATACATCATTAATATGACTATTTAAATGATATGTAACTCTCAAGGTTGTTGGGAGCCTCACAGGGCCTAGCTGTAAACCCCGGAGATAGACTTAGACCCAAGGAGTTTAGTTTCCTTTCTGGCAGCAGGATCCAGGAACTGGCCTGCTTTCCTCTCTGGCACTACTCATACTTCCTTGAGCTTCTTCTTCCTCCCACACAGGGAAACCAAAACCAGTAGGTGACTCAGCTGAGATTCAAGTCCAGGTCTCTGATTTCTTTTCGTGGTACTGTGGGAAGAAGCTGAGGAGGGTGACAGAATTGGGGACAGAAAGAGAATCATGCCTGGGAAGGAAGAAGAAAAGGGAGAAAATGGGAAAGAAGAAAAAAGGAAAACCCACAGTCCTTGGACACCTGCTAGTCCCTGCATTGGCTCTAGGAGGTCTATGAACCCTTTAAAATTGTACACAATTTTTATGTGTACCCCTCCCATAGAGGGTTAGTACTTTAACAGGCTTTCGAAGAGCTCTTGCCTCAAAGATTTTGAACCAACCACTGAGCCAGGCAATTTTCTGTGGTATATTTTAAAGAAGCTTTTTGAAATGAATTTTTTTTTCTTAAAATAGAGAAAGGGAGGACAGAACTCTGCCTTGAGCCAAATAGCTTATGAAAGTCTGGTTGTAGGCAAAATGGTGAAATAGGCTGATTTTCTCAGCTGTTTCTGTGAACGCAGAACGTATGGGTATTCAGTTCTGTCGCTAGAAATAGTTGTGAAATATTGAAGCCGAGCAGATTTCCAGGACAGAGTGGATTCACAGTGTTTTGTAGAACTTGACGGAGTGTGGTTTGTTTTTACAGCCTCTGTGTTACCTTCAAAATACTTCGATGACTTGGAACATGAGCTTAGACACATGGTGTGGAAAAAGATGAAAGTAATTGAAAACAGGATAGTCCTGGAGAATCTGGGGTGTGACCTTTCACCCACAGATCTGATTTGCGAGTCCAGGGCAGGTGTCAGCCAACTCAAGCTACAGGTCAGATCTGGGCTGCCTCCTGTTTTTGTAGTTTCATTAGCCCACAGCCGTGGCGATTTATTTACGTATTATTTGTGTATTAGCTGCTTTCACCTACAAGGGCAGAGTAGTATATGTTGTTGCTACAGGGATCATATGGCCCCAAAAACCTAAAATATTTGCTATTTGGGCTTTTAGAGAAAAAGTTTGCCAACCCTAGTCTAGGGTCTAAGTGTGTGAGGGAAACTGGAAAAGGCCTGTCCTGATTTGCACATATACCTTAGTTCACAATATTTATTTGTAGTGTGGCCATAAATATTGTCAATCTGTGTGTACATGCTGGCCATAATTTGTAAACATAGAGCCAAATTCTGCCCTGTGCACAAACTTTCCTTTGATTTCATGTGTTCATGTGTGTGTGCATATTATTTAACTAAAATTTAATCTTGGCCTATGTCCCGTAATACATTTCCATTTGAAACTTTCAAATTAATTTAAGCATTTTTTGACTTTAGAGAAGATTTTTGTGCTTTAAAAACTAGCATGTTAGAACAATTTAAATTGGGTAACTCACTGGAAAAGAATAATTCTTCTGACAGCAACTGCAGAATTAAAAAATTCCCTTTACCTGTTGTGTTTTGACCTATTACTTAATCATTGTCAGCTACAGTTGTCCTCACAAATTCTTCTCTTGCAGTGACAATTTTCATCCACATAGTACTGTATATTTGAGTATTGCTCTGCCGAATATATTCACATGTATTTTATTTCAAACAACTCTGTGAGGTGGGTGGGGTAGGAATTATTACCAAGCACCACCTTTGCCTTTAAGTGTGAAAATTGAAGCCTAGGGAATTTAAGAGATTCCTTCCTGGTTACGTGGGTAATTAGTGACAGCTGCAGGGCTGAGATCCTACAATTGTTAGTCCTTGGAATTACTCTTTATTTTTGTATTTTGTCATGGAAGCATGCATTTGAACTATTCCAGAGAGACTGAAGAATGCTTTCTATTCATCCATAAAATAAGGATAATATTATGCATCTTGTAGGATGGTTGTAAGGATTAAAGATTATGTATGAGTATGCTGAGTACAGTGCCAGGAGCAGGGTAAGCATTTTGCAAATGGTGGCTACTGTTATTATACTTTCCCTAGGATTATGGGATTGTTTTTATGTTGATTTTTTATTAAAATATACCATTTATTAGAATATACCATTCTTAATTGTTTTTGTAAAAAAAAGTATAAAAACCATTATCTCTCCACTGTGGTTGCAGTTGTCCTGGTCCCCAAGTGAGCTAACCATTTTGGAACATTTAAACTCAGAACAATGTATCAAACTCAAATACAATGTAGCTTTAGAGTTCATGTTTCAAGTTTTTTTTATTGTAGTGGTATCATTTACTTTGGTAAATTCATATCCCCATTTAAAATGTCCCAAAGCAAAGAAAACTGTTATAAATTCAAGAACTGTATTTTAAAATGTACATGGTATGCACACAATAGCTGCATAGTGGAATTACTTAACAAGCAGGTACATTCATGATGCTCAGCACTAGGTTTTTAACACTGCATAAAGATTACACTAGATACATTGTTTTATTATGATTACTGTTGCTTCCTACAGTAACTTTAGTACAGTAGCTTATATGATTGCACTTTTCAAAGCTTTAATAAAGTTAGTAGCATTTAACTAATATTGAATGAAAACACTTTTACATAGAGGATGTATTTTAGGTCAGATGCTTATGCAAGTCTAAGCACTTAGCATGCTGCTATATCCTTGACAGAACAAAATCATCCCTTTCACTAAATAGAAAAAGCCAAGCTAAAAGGAATCCGAAGTAATTGAAAGAAAATCTAAAATTTTATATCCCTGTATTATGTTAAAGATTACTTAACATAATTTTCTTCTAGTTAAAATATGCAGTTTTCTTCTGGTTGAAATAAAGGAGAGAGAGAGATTGGGGGCAAAGGCTGTACTGAAATGTTAACATAGCTGTAGCCCTTTAGCTTGGAAAAAAAGTATGGTGAGTTGTACTCAACATTTTTTCTGCTTAGAAAAAAATTAATAGCTTATAAATTTCTAATGTTTTAAAACAGGTATTTATTATTTAAGGTCTTAAAATAAATCTACCTGTATTAAACAAATTAGGTTGTTTAAAAATCTTTGCAACAATACTTGACTTATTCACAAATATATTTTCTGTCCATATTTATTACAGTTTGAACAATTTAAAAACATAAATCTTGCAAATACTCTTGGCTTGGACAACAATACTGTTATCTTAATTCACACAAATGATTGCAAGAAATATTTGTAATACTTTATAGAATATCTTATCTAACGCTCACATCAAATACTCAAATTAATCACATTGAACTTTACAGATGGGAAAGTTGGGATGGTGAGAGGTGAGATAGCTCTGTTTTAGTAATTGTAGTAATTTCTTGTTTTGTGTGTGCAGCTGGCCTTCTGATTTTCTGTGGGGGAGGACACAACATTGAAACTTCTTTGAATAAAGTAAACTCTTCTGGAAGTCAGATAACGATTACAAAAACTTTCAGATGAAGATTAACTTAATCGTCAATTAGCCCTGGGGCATACTCTATAGTTTGCTCAGAACTGCTCGTGGAAACTTATTTTTCTAAGTGTGCCAATGATTGTCTCAAAGGAAAAATTTTGGTTAAGTAAATAGTGAGTCCTATTTAAAAGTTTGTTTCTAATTGCTTTCTTTTTTAAGTAGAAAAATCTTTTGAGATAGAACCAGTCATCAGATAATGATGAATAACTCAGTATGATTCTTAAGATAATACAATCATATTTAAACAAACTTCCCTTTTCCTTAGAGTATTCAGCCATAGAGTGAAATTTCAAAGACTTTGCTAAGCCATCTTCATGTGTATAATCTCTGATAAAATTTCCAGGGAAAAAGAAGACTATTTGAAGAATGACTAAAATAGAAACTCTACTGAATTTCTGATTTTATTTTTAAGCTTCCCCTCTCCAAAAAATATACCCATAATTAGGTTCAGAGAAATTTTGTCCTTTACTTTTTTTTTTTCTGAAGAGAATCACACATAGATCATAACACACGTACTTAATAACTTACATTTTGGGACAGAAGGCAGTCAGCATGGCCCACCTTGGTCCATCCCAATGTCATTTTCAAATCAAGTCACATCCTGTCTTTGGGTTAGTTAGCTGCTGATGGAGGTTTGATAGAGGGGATACTGCATGATCTTCTCATGATAAGCCTGACTTCTATGTCTGGCAGATTATCCTGCTTAGTCTGTAAACACCCTTCGTCGGTGGCTGCTAAATGAAGGTCAAATCGAAGAGAAACAGATTTTTTCCTTAAGCGAGGGTTATCTTTAAAGAAGGAACCTTCCCATTCTTTGATAACTTCATCCACTTTCTCTGTCCTGAAATGATAAAATAAACTTTTCTATATGAAGAAGTATAGATATATTTTAAAAAATGTAATATGTATTCCATGTGAAAAAGAAATCAAGAAATTTGTATAATTTGTATTTTACATTTTAAATTATAACTTACATTTTGGAATTTATAGTTTACATACTTTAAAAGTCATGTGAATATAATTTCTAGGGAATTCAATGGAATTCTCATGGTTTGGTTATATTTTTAGAGAAACGGTGAATTAAGTACTCAATCCTTAGTTAAGTACTCCATCTGAGTTTTCATTTATATATATTTATTCACGTCAGATTAAAAACCATGGTATATTAAAATTATCTTTGGAAATATTCAAAGATTACTGAGATTACTCAATTGAAGTTAATTTCTTTGCATATGTTTATTATTATTTCTTGGTCAAAATTATTTTACTTACTGAATAGTACCATGAGCTTCAGTGCTTTCCTTCACGATATTTCCATTTAATATTGCCTGTTTGGTCACTGTTTCCACTTTTTCATTCTCATACTTTTGTGGGACTTTCGTTGAAAAAGATATTTCATTTATAATGGCTGTGAAAATGTTATTTATGAAGTATTAAATTACAGTGTGGAAGTGCTATTCACAGTCAACTTATGTCAAACTTTATTCAAATATTGCTTGGTTTTGCTACTTTAGAGTATTTAATTTATTCATAATCCCTATAAATGACATTTTACTTTTCAACTTAGTTTACTTATATCAGAAACTCACCTGAAGGTAAAACAAAACCAACTCTACTTGTGGTAGGTTTTTCTTCTTTTTTCTCACCTTGGATACAACCATAATATCTGAAATTGGAAAGAATTACATTATAGGAGCAACATTGTATTAGCATATAATTGAAACAAATGCTCACCAGTAAGAGAATGGATAAATTGTATGTTCATACATTGTATATTCAATGTATTAACTGTATATACAGTGTATATTCATACACTGTATATTAATACAATGGAAATACTATTTAGCAGTGAAAATAAATGAACTAAGTGTACACTGTATGTTTATGGATGAATCTTCCAAGTATAACATTGAGTGGACCAGAAAAAGATAAGTTGTTGCTAAGATTATAAAGGTTGGGGGCTGGCCCCGTGGCCGAGCGGTTAAGTTCGCGCGCTCCGCTGCAGGCGGCCCAGTGTTTCGTTGGTTCGAATCCTGGGCGCGGACATGACACTGCTCATCAAACCACGCTGAGGCAGCGTCCCACATGCCACAACTAGAAGGACCCACATCGAAGAATATACAACTATGTACCGGGGGGCTTTGGGGAGAAAAAGGAAAAAATAAAAAAATCTTAAAAAAAAAAAAAAAGATTATAAAGGTTAAAATAATATGCAAAACAATTTCATATTTTGCCTAGGGATATATACATATTAGTATAAAGGAATGTATGAGGCTAATAAGCATCAAATTTGGGAGCCAGATTAGACTGAGGGAGGAGGATGAGGTGGGGGTGATGTGGTTTAGGTGTCGGGGTAAGGGTGGGTGGGGGTGGGGTTGGGGGAGACTTCAACAACATTGTAACTGTTTCACTTCTTAAGCTGGGGGAGGTGCATACATGAGAGTTCACTATACTTTTTTTGATACTTTCTTGTATATCTTTTTTTTTTTAAGGTTGGCACCCGAGCTAACATCTGTTGCCAGTCTTTTTCTTTTCTTCTTCGTCTCCCCAAAGCCCCCCAGTACATAGTTGTATATTCTAGTTGTAGGCCCTTCTGGTTGTGCTATGTGGGGCACCGCCTGATGAGCAGTGCCATATCCACACCTGGATCTGAACTGGCAAAACCCTGGGCCGCCAAAGCAGAGTGCATAAACTTAACCACTTGGCCACGGGGCTGCCCCATGTATATCTTAAATATAGCATAACAAAATTTAAAAAAATACTGTTAAAGACCACTTTATCAACATCTTGAATGATTAAGCATTAAATAAAATTTACAACCATTTATTTTATTTAATAATAAATTATGTATATATTTACATAGCACTGTCTTAAGCACTTTACAAATGTTAATTCACTTAATCCTCACAGCAATCCTATGAGGTAGCTAACATTATTCCCATTTTATAGGTGAGAAAACTGAGGCTCAGAGAGGTTCGGTAACTTGCCTAGCACCACTCAGCTAGTAAGTGGTATATTTTGAATTTACGTTTTTCAAAGATTTAGTAAATGTCTTATTGTAGGTTAAAGTAGTTTCGTCTAATTTTATAGAGGTCTCAGAATTCTGAAGCAAGGAAGAATAAAGTTTTCTTTTTATGAGAACATGGAAAATTGGAGGTTGTGCTGTATTCAAAGCCATGTGACCTTCTAAGTGATTATGGATTATGAAATTTTGTGAATTAATAAGGATTCTTCTTTTGATACCTTTTGTTATCAGGACATCTGGAAGTCTTTTAAGTCACGTACTCCGAACAACACTGCTTTCCATGGTTGTAATATAATCACATTATTATTATTATTAATTACTATTTGTTTGATGTTTGATGTGTGGTGGGTGTGGGCTCTTGGGTGGGGGCGGGGACGTAGTAATAGTATGTGAATTTTCCAAGCTTTCTTTGTGTGTGGTCCATAGAAGGCACTGACTAATTCTAAAAGAGATGAATGGCAAGGGAAGTGAGAAAGTTAAGAAAGGTCATTTTTGTAGCAATTGAGAATTGTTACATTTTGTTCCAGGCTCAGTGTGCTCTTTGTTGTAGCTAATGTCCCTGACTTCGGTTGTTATGTTCATAATTTGGGGAGGCTGATAATAGTTCTTCCACATATTCTTTGCAATGGCTACTAATCCTACTTTGTTGTAGGCGGTCAATGAGTATGCCGTGGTGATGATGGGTTTTTAAGATTTAATTTCTCTGACTACATCAATGACGTCAGTGGTGCTGTATTTCTGGCCACTTGTTATTAACCATATGGAATTAGGTACCTGATTTCTTCCTTTTCTAGGAGGCGGCGATAAGTTGCTATTTCTTGTTCTAGCCTCATCTTTGTGTTGAGAAGCATCTCATGCTCTTGAAGCTGCTTTTCGATGCCACGCCTTACTTCCTGTAGCTCTTTTTCTAGTCTTTCAATCACGGCCTCTAAGTCTTGCAGCTGCGTCTGGTAATGTTGCTCGCTGGCGTGTAGGGAGTGTTCAAGGCCCCTTTCCTGTTTTATATAGATCTTCATCAGTGAAACAAAATGTGTTTCTGAAATCTGATTTGCAATGTCTTCATCCTGTTGTGTTCTTTCTTAAAAAGGTTGCAATAATTGTATAACACTTAGGCAAGGGGTTTTTCTTACAGCTTTATGAATAACCCAAGTTAAAAAAAGTTATTTATGTTTTATACATGTAGCTAGAGAGCTTACTATTTCAAAGGACTAGTGTGATAATTCTTATGGCAAAAAAAAATTCTTCAGTGTGAACTTGTTGTATCACTCTGATTTACAGTCATCCCTCGGTATCCACAGGGGATTGGTTCCAGGACCCCCCAGGGAGACCCAAATCCAAGGATGCTCAAGTCCCTTAGATGGCCTGTCTTACCCAGGGATTCCACCTCTATGGTGATGGAGGGCCGACTGTATTTGATTTTTTAAATATTGAAAGTATAGAATATTGAATATCAAAGCCAGAGCAGACTGCTTGTAAAAGACATTTTAGGAAAGTGTTTAAATATTTTTCTATTAGAAGTCTCAATCTCACTGTTATGACTTTGGTTAATGACAAAGGCTCTATTCCCCTACTCCAACAATTTGAGAACCCCAGCCTGATCAGGAAAGATTACTTCATTTTTATAGGCATGAGCTAAACCTTGAATGAATTGATAATAGCACTTGTCATGATGGAGGCAGGGGTGGAGGGGCGGGTAGATGAACTAGGACCAGGGATAGAATTCAGTGGCCTTGATTTTTAGCTTCTCACTGTAAAGTAATGGACATGATTCCTTTCCCTCTCTTAATCAGGTGACATCTGGGGACTCAATGGGCCGGTCACTTTTGAGATCATTCTCACCACAGCATGGAGAGATTCAATTTCCACTTGCAGGTGGTACCACTGGCGACGGGCTTCCTTGAGTTCTGCTTGAGCAGCCTTTAAAGCCTCTTCATCTTTGTCCATTTTTTTGCTTATATCTTCTTCTAGCTAGAAGAAGGCCAATAACAACAATAACAAAAAAACAAAGAGCGCTCTTGAAAATGAGACATTTAAAGCAAATATAGAAAAATAATATAAGAAGTGAATCATTTTTTTCTTCAAATTGTTAGATTACAAGTGTATTCTAGTGCTTAGTTACTAATATGTGAGCAAGTCTGTCTCAGTTTTCTCAGATGTAAAATGAACCTCAAAAGTCCTTTCCGACCATGACAGTCTATGAAATGCAGAAAAACACATCTGTTTGAATGAAAAGTAACAGTTTGCAGGACGTAAGTTTGAGACCTCTGATTCTTAACTTTCCATTATTTATGATATCATTAAGGAAGACAAATTGAAAATTTGCTACTATTTCCCTCCCATATTTTCCTGTAGGTTGCTTTATAAAAAGCAGCTATAAATCCTAAACTGATCAATTCTGGGACTGGGTGTATGGACAAGGAGTAAATACTGCTGGAAAGTATATTATGAATAATTTAGAGAATTAAGGCATTAGAGGTTCTAAAATAGACTTCAGTATTAAGAAAACCCATTGTTGATTTACCTTTATAAAAAATGTTCTTTTTAGAAGGAATGTTAATCTTGGCTATCTAGGGTAGTAGCAAAAATGACATCTTTAAAGATTGTTTTCTAAATGTCCTCATATTAAATAACAAGAGGAATATTGTTTCATCTGTAAATGTTTTTATGCTGATGTTGGAATTAAATTGTCTTTTGACAGAACTCTTAACATTTGGCCCCAAGAGCAATAGGAGCAATGCGTGGAATTGACTGTAGTATTTTGAAGCAAAATGACAACTTTTTACAAAAATGAGTTTTAAAATAAAAAAATTAATTTGATGATACAATAGATTTTTTTAAAAGGATACGTTGGAGTCAGTGAAAGTCTATGAATACAGTTTAGGGCAAGGTATTAGAGAACAAAATTCCCATGTTCTTTTGGTTTATTGTGTCACTTGTTCTTAGCGTCACTTGGTAAAGGCAAGCAGAAGCACATATCAGAGCAATGACAGAAGAGAATGTCAGGAATTTAGGAAATAGCAGAGCATAAAAATGCTGATATCTACTGGTCTTTTGATTTTGAGTGTGGAACCACAGCAAGGTTGTGTGGTAGCTGGATTCCAAAGATGGCCTCCAATGAACCACATCTCCCAAAATTCATGTACTTGTTTGGTCCCCTTCCACAGTGAATCTGGGCTGCCCTGCATCTTGCTTTAGCCAGTAGAATGTGGCAGAAGTGCCAGTTTTAGGCCTAAACCATAGGAAGTCCTGGACAACTTCCACTTCTTTGCTTTTGGGAGCCCTGATCCAACATACAAGAAGTCTGGATACCCAGTGGGAGAGATCATATAGAGAGGCCAGAGGGAGAGAGACCGTGAGGCCACATGCAGAAAGAGAGAAACAGGCCTCGTTGTCTCAGCTGAGCCAGACTTCCAGAAATCTCCTGCCAGGGTGCCAGACACATGAGTGAGCCACCTTGGCTGTCCCAGCTAGGTTTTGCCCCAAGATGACTGCAGTCCAGCCAATGTCATATGTCCCAGAAGAATCACCCCCACTGAACCCAGTCAACCCACAAAATCATGGCGGGGATACAATGGCTGTTTTAAGCCACTAAGTTTTGGGGTGGTTTGTTCTACAGAAAAAGTAACTAAAATAGCTTATGTTTCCTTATTTTGTAGCAATTAATGAGGCTTTCTTGAATTTATTCCAGCTGACTTCCTGACTTCTTTAAAGAAAATCCCCTAAAGTAGGTTTATGTTAAAATGACTCTGAACGAAACTTACTGTAGTCTTGCTTTTTCACTTTAATTTATTCATTTCAGCATTGTGACTTGTAAACTAAATAACTTTTATTTTTACTGTTGCAAAAGAAAATGTTTTTTGGTTTATAATTTTCAGAAATTGTCATCTATTAATTTTTTTTTCTGTAAAAGGTAAGTGAACTATTCTGACACTTAAATCAAATATCCCAGTGATTTTGCTTAATCTAGGATACTGACCATTCTTTATGAAGACTGAAAATGTTACCCAAAGGTGAAATTTATAATGTTACTAAAGGTGAATTGTTAACGGAATGAAGACCTATGATTTCCCAGCAATATCTTTTTTCCTTTTAGTTATATTCTCTAGTAAACTCTTTGCTCTGTCTGGGTACTTGGAATAGAATTTGAACTCAGATATAATAGGTAAACTAAAAAAAAAATCCCTGAAATTCTGAATCTTTGTTTCTAAAATATTTGTTTGTACATTTGTTTAAAGATTAGAGACCTTAATTAATTGCTAAAGGTGATTTTCACTTTAAAACAAAGTAAGTCTATGAAATCAGGAGTTAGCCCTTATTTACCTGGGCACTCTCTTTTTTCAATACTTAAATATTGCATGCTTAGTATTGGAAATAAACATTTCTCATCTTATAGTACAAAAGCAAAAATCTATAATCTAAGTAGAGAGTCATTATCAATTTGGGGAATTTTGATCATTCCAATTTATATCATTGTTCCTAAATGCTATGTTCACATACTCAGATGATTTCTATTTATAACAATCTGGTATAAAACTGAACTCATTACAAAGATGATGGAAACCTTTTAGACCTATTTTACTTAGTTTTTTCTCTACAAAGTGTGCAAGCTAATAAATCTTACCATAAAGCTTGTCATTTTAAACATGTTATTTACGTAATCTCTATAAATAACTCCGTAATATCTTTGAAGGGTATTTGAAATGCTTCCTTCCTGAAGGATGTCTAAAAGAGGTTAGAGTGAACCATTTTATTGTATGTTGACCCCATGTTTTGTTAATGATAGTCACCTCATAATTTACATAAAAACCAAATGCATCAATCGACATTTATCTGCTGCTAGTTTGACAGTATAATCACAGCATTTTCCCCTGTAGCCCCAGTCACACTGCAGTAACAGCTAAATTCCTTCCCCAGTATATGCTGCATTGAAAAGGAAATACTGTACCTCAGAGAGGCCGGGGCAGGAATTGGATAGACATGGATTGTCTCCTTATCCTGGAAGGTGCCTGTCTATGAAATCATTACCTGGATCCTTGTTGAGAGCACGGTCTCTATCTGATTTCTGGTGAGGAGCTTTTCATAGTGTGCCCTGATCTCATTGAGTAGCTGGGACAGCTCCATTCTGTTCCCATCCTCCACCTTGGCTAACTGAACCTTATCGATAGGCTGAGTCGCTGCGGCAGAGCCTGCTTTGTCTGCGTCGCCAGCGGAGACAGCCTGTGGAGCCTTAAAGACGCAGAGCTCCTTTTTCAGAAGCCACGGATATTCCCGTGTTTCTAATCAATTATTCAAATAATAGGTAAACCCTTTTCTCCTATTGTTTTTGGTATCGTAGAAATGTCAGACTCTCCATAAAGGAACAGGAAAACGAAAACATCCTCAGTATTTCTAAATTGGTTCTTTGTAAAACTGAGCACTTTTGGGGGAAAAATTAATTCATCTTGTAGAAAGGAAATGGGGCATAACAAGGAAAATTATATTTTGTTTTCTGAAGATATTGCGTGGAATAAATCTGGGCCCACAACATGATAGCTAAACTGTTCTTTTACAATTTTTCTCACCATTTGGATTATTTAAACAGAAATCCTAAGGGAGGGGCATTAGAATATGTTGTAAATATTGAATATTCTGACAGTTATGGGAAAAAGCTACCATCAGATTAAGTTGACAGTTGTCATTGGCCACAGCACTGTTTGACTGTATTTCTCTCAAATGCGTATAGTGTGGCTCCTGGCCAGCTCCTGGCCTGACAGCAGGGCTTGACGTACTGAGGTGAATTCCTGAAGGCATATTATAGGTGAAGCTATAGCTAGAGATAAATGCTAATAGAGTATGAGAGCTGAGAGTTAAAATTTCCCGCGTTTTAATAAGGTTGAAGAAATGGAACCAGATGGTCCCTGCACAGGGTGTATTCACCGCGGTAAGATTTATCGTGGGGTTGCTCCCTCATTAGTAAACATATGGTTAATGACAACTCACACTTGTAAATATAACATTTGTGCAGCTCTTCTAACTTTAAAAAGCACCTTTACATCTGTCATTCCGTCCAGTCTTCACAATCCCTGTCATTTTGTAATCTGTAAAGATGCCAAACCTGAGGCAGGAGAGGTTAAGGCGTCTTGCCCAAGGTCATATGGCAATGTAATGGCATCCTTGGGATTAGAACTTTGCTTGTTTCTCTGTATTTCATATATTGCCCTGTCTGCCTCTGCGTTCTCTCTCTCCTAACCTAAATTCCTTGCTTAATCTGGCAATCTAGTTGCCAGGTGTGACTGAAATATTTTCGAGAATAGATCTATCATTGTTATTTGTAGAGTGACTTGGCTGAGATTGTATCTAGAGCGTAGTTCAGGAAATAATCAATCTTTGGCTCTAGCACTCACAGGGCCTTTGAATGTGCATGGTCCTCCTTTAATTTCTGAATTAATTCACTGCTGGCCAGCCCAGTCTGTGCCGGGCATTCCCGTAGCTTCAGAAATCTTAGCAATGCAAATAAGGAAGGATGTCATTCTTATAGGGATCATCTTGAATCCACTCTAGTTATTAGAAAAAGAAATCACTTGAAAATGTTGTACTTTATTAATAGGAACAAATTCATTGTAACACACATCACAACTCCCAAAATGCTGAGGTTGAGGACACCATCTCTAGGGACATTCATGAGAGTGAGTCCCCAGGTCCTTGGGAATTAGAATTCAAGACCGAAGGCCATTCATTCATTCATTCATTCGGTTATTTGAGGGCTACTGTCTGCACAGCAGTGTGCTGGGTGCAGATAAAGTGCTAGAGGAGTTCTGAAGAGGAGAGGTGACCTCCTAGGGCATGTGGTGGGAAGAAAAGATGCAGAAGGCATTATAGAAGCAACAGTAAAAAAAAAGAAAAAAAAAATGGCTCAGGCCCAGATCATGGGAAGGCAGGCTATGAAGGCTGGATTTTATTTGGTAGGTAATGGAGAGTCATTGCTGGTTTATGACATGAGGAGTCATAATGGTCACATGGTCAGATTAATTTGGGAATAGTGTGAAAGATTTCAGAGTAAGGACACTAATTACAGAACCGCTGTTCGTGAAAAGAAACATAAAACTATTTTTGAAGTTCAGAGTGAGAGATCGTGGGAAAGTGAATTTGAGTAATGCCATGGGAACTGAGCAGAGGGAGCATGCATGAAATCAGAAAGTTTTAGCAAGTGGCAACTGATTATGAAGGGAAAGGGTGGAGAGGTCAGAGATGACTCAGATTTACACTCTCTGCAGCTAGGACATCTGCGGTTCCATGATCAGAACAGGGAAGGGAGGAAGATAATTAGATTAAGTCCAGACCCTTAAAGCCACATGATGTAGTGGGAAGGACCTGGGTTCAAGCCTCTGCCTACCAATTACTGGCAAAGTGAGCTTGGGGAGTGCACTGATGCTCTTTGAACTTCAACTTCCTCATCTGTAAAATGAAATTAATGATGCATGCCTCATACCACTACCACTGTCATTGGTGGTTACCATTATCACCATTCTCATTTTGTAGATAAGGATACAGAAGTACAACAAAGTGCAGAGCCAAGATTCAAAGCCAGGCAGTCTGACTCCAGAGCCTACCCTTCAGAGCATACCTAATTTGAAACTTCTTAGTAATCAGAAGTAGAACACTTGGCACATAATAGAGGTCTTCAAATCCCTGCTACTTAGAGTGGGAACTTGTTAGAAATGCAGATTCCCAGGCCCCGCCCCGGACCTGTTAGATCAGCAGCTGCACTTTAACAAGATCTCTAAGTGATTTGGGTGCACACTAAAGTTTGAGAAGTGCCAGTTTAAATCACTGGTTCTCACACTTGTTTGCACATTGAAATCACTTAGAGAACTTTAAAAACTAGTGATGCCCCCCCCCCCACCATATTCTGATTTAATTAGCTCGGGATGTTGCCTGGGCATCAGAATTTTAAAAACTTCCTGGGTGAGACTAATATGCAGCAAAGTCTAAGAATCACTGTTATAAACGTTGTTTCCTTCCGCTCATTTCCCTCTCATGCTTCACCCAGAGGAGGTGGGTTGTTAAGTGTGAAGTAAGACTCCCAAATTTAAACTCTGGCAAGTCCATAGCCTCAGGTAGAGAAGACATATACATTGCTTGATTTTTCTTTAACAAATCAATCTTTATTCTGGGCTCCCATTCCGTAGAGGATGTATAATTAAATCTCCTCAATGGGACTTCCTGCCTTTTCTCCAAAGTGATGCATCTAAGTTTTGGGGACCCTCTGTAGTTGTGACTAGGGGGCCTGTATCGTCCTTGATGGATCTGTCCAAGTCTGTGTTCACTAAGTCAATTATTATTCTTCCCACTTGTCCCATTCTCATTGTTGGGGAAACAATTAAAAACAAAATCTCCCAACCGGGAAATCCTCTCCATAAAGGTAGCAGAGAAACAAAACACTTTTATAATTAAATAAACATTAAACCAGAATGCGATGCACATCACAGGCAATCCGCTAAGAGATTGCAAAGACAGAAAGAAATCTCACCCTTTTATACAGCCAAGCAGACAGAACCCATTACATCCCTGTTCTCAAGATAAATGGTAACTAGTCCTCAAGTAAGAGAACTTGACAGCACCATTTGTCATGCAGAGTTCATCCTAACTTTCCCTGGTAATTGGGGTCACTGTCTGTGTTAGCTAACGGGCTTCATATAAAGGGAAACAACACTTTATAATGGGAGGTAGGTTTGGAGAGAGTCTCCTACCTTCCCACAGGAACTGGGAGACCCGGGCGCTATTTTCCTCTGATGTTGACATTCCAAAGATATGGTTCCTAGGTCCTTGAGAAAGACATTCCTGGGTTGTAAAGCTGGCCAAAGGCTTACTTAGCTTTTAAAAAGATTTACTTATATTTTAAAGAGACAGAGAAAGAATTTACAATTACGAGGTTTCTAAAGTAAAAGCTCTAAGAAAAGGGACTGGGAGGGTTGTCTCTTCTCTTAGTTCAACAGGGAGAATTAAGCCTATTTGTTTAAGCTTGTGTTTGGCCTTACGGCATCCAGATGCTCTCTTCCATACTTCTTTCCACACTCAAAGGCTTGAGAATCACTGTGATGCTTCCGTGTGCCAGTGGCATGGAAATGCTAGGTAGATTGTTTGTGGCTCCATCTGCCCAGACACACTGCGCAACCGTAATCTATTTGGCTCTTGTCCCTTTCCTGGGGCCACAATCCAAAAACCAGGGCGCAGTGCTCCTGAGCAGTCAGGTCCCCAACTAACCTCCTGTTGACTCAGAAGCATGGCCTGGGGCTCCTCTCTCAAGGACCCTCCGCTGCCTCTGTCTCACCACTTCTTTCTCCCCTCTCCCTTCAGTCAAGGGAAGCTCTTCTGTTCGTCAGGGTTCTATTCTACAGTGCAAGCCCTGAGACCTGTCTGCCTTGTTTATGGCTCTGTCACCACTGTCTAGCTCTGTGCCTGGCACGGACATGGCAGACAATAAACATGTGCAGATGGAATGATGTTTCTTCTGAATGTTTTGCCTGGGCCCTGAGTCCTCCTCATTCTAAGACCAAGGACTTGGTTTTTGTTTCACTCTCCCCTCAGGCGATGAACCCAGAGTGACCTATTTGCTTGAAGGAGGTGAGGGGCAGGGAGTGAAGTACTAGGAGACAGATAAGTTCCGTAGTTCAAAAACCTCACGCTGTCCCCATTTTCAGTGTTTATACATCCAAGCAAGTCAGGCATGCACACATCCTCCATCTTGGTAGATTTTGGGGACTTTGGTATTAACCTTTGACATAAATAACATCTTTTCTAATCAGCTTGTACTTAAGATTGGCTTGCTGCTTTAAGGAGGGAAACAAATTTTGAAAGGAAAAGAATGGGCTCAATTATTTTTATGCAATGCGTGTGGACACATATGTATGCACTTTTTATGCAATGCACTTGGGCAACCTTTAAAATTCCTAATTTTATTGTATACAAGGGTCACATCTTAACCCATTTAATGTTCTCCTGTCCTACACATAAATATTGTGATTAAGTTTTATTCTAAAAAACATACCAGATACAACTGATGGCAACACAATTTTCTATTAAATGGCTTTCTCGTCCAGGCAGTTGTAAATAGGAATCTCTTTTCTTTGGACAGATGTATCAGTCCAACTGATTTTTTGATTTGGGGGATAATTCGTAGAGCTGGGGTATTATTTTGTTTATTAGGTGTAATTTCTTTAGCAGCTTAGGATATTGTGAGTCTGTCTTTTTAATCAGTCATGCATTTTAATAGGATTATAGATGCATAATTAGTCAGCAAATAAAGATGGATCTTTTTTTGTACTTAAAAAAATTGTTGTAAGTGACAGGCCTTTATTTTCCTGGTTTGTCTCCTTTTAGTTGTATTGTTGATTTTTCTACTTATAGGAGCATGCCGGCACATGGTATGGTTTAATCTTGTGTTTCATGTATCAGGTAAGCATATAATTAGGCAGAGATTTGTGTTGGAACGTGTTTGTCAGCATTTTTCAGCACGTTCCAAGGAGCATGAGTAATGCTCACATGCGTTTCCATGTGTCCTGCACACACATTTCAGATGGAGTGATGAAGCAGGGTATAGTACGCACGCAGGCTCACGTGTTCATGGTGGATACTGAATTCATTCTTTGCTGCTGTAACTCAAGAGTAAAAGGCAGAGTTATTTCTCTAAACAAGGACTTTGCCTTTGTGTCCTATTTTCTCTGGCATCTTTCGCAGCGCTTCCCCTTTCTACCTTGTTCACAGCAGCCCAACACACAGATGTTTCAGGCTCAAAAAGTAGCGTGAGTAGAGGGTGAGGACATTTTAGGATCAATTACTCTGTACAGTTTCGGTGTGTTACAAATACAATTCATGTTGTTATATTGTTACCTTTGCAGACTCTAAGCACTGAACAAAACTATTCAGCAATTCAATTTCCTTTTCTCCGTCTCCCTTTTTGTCTGAAGGTGCCTTAATTAAGTCCCAACCTTTGAAGTTGTGGTTCTTAGGCTAAAACTGTGCACCCACCCACCGCTTGACTTACAATATTCGCCTTTCTTTTCTGATCCTAGGAAGAGAAGGCTTTGTTGGGTCCTAAATACAACTCCCTCACCAGTTTGGCAGGTGTTTCCTTCACTTCCCTTCCTATCTTCGAAAGACTGATTTTTCTAAATCTTCTGTCTCTAGCTGATGACCTTGTCCCTGCTGCCTTCTGTTAAGTGTCCTGGAGAGTCCAGTCTTAGTTTATTCTAGAC